ACAAGTAGAAACAGAGGGAGAGAGACAATGAGAAAGTACAAACAACAGCGAAGCTGCGCTCACTCGCTCTGCAATGCGCTGCTCACTCTCAAATTATGGGATGCCTGTGTTCAGTATACCATAATAATGTACATGTACTTATATATGCGTATGTTTATGTGTGTGAGTACGTGTGTATGTGTGTGATTGTTTGTGTGTTGGTATGTGTATAATATACGAGTTTGTTTTGTGGCTATCATAACTTGTGTTTTACACACGCTCACAAGCATGTTTGTGTGGATTTTTGACGTTTGTGTTGGTTCACCATGTGAAGATTCATCACACTCACACACATACGACATACATTTGTGAAGTTTGTGTTGGTTCACAGTGTGAACATACGTCACATATACACACATACAGGGGTTTTTTTTTTAGTTTCTGTTGGTTCATCATGAACATATCCACTGCTTTGTGTAGAACTCCGCCATACGCCATTTTGAAAAATGACGTGTGACATAAGTATGACGTATGGTGTATTATGACGTATGACATATGACATATGAAATATTATGACATATGACGTATGGCATATTATGACGTATGGTGTATGACGTATGACGTATGACATAATTTGATGTGTGACATAATGTGACGACGTGTGACGTATTATGACGTATGACATATGGTGTGTTATGACGCATGACATATGAAATATTGTGACGCATGACGTGTGACATATTATGACGTATGACACAGTATGACGTATGGCGTGTGACATATTATAACGTATAATGACGTATTTTGACGTATGACGTAATATGACGTATGACGTGTGAAGGAGTGTTCCATTGAGTAGGGGCGATATGTCACTCATGTACACATTACAGTTTTGAAGTTTCTATTAAATCACTGTGTCAATCTTCATCACACATTTAATCGTGTCAATCTACGTCACACACTTACACACATACTGTGACATACATGGTACTATTCCTCTGTGCGAGGACATTAATGTGTGCGTGTGTGTGTGTATATACTTCGGTGTGTTTTTTTGTTATGTGTTTGTCGATGTGCGTTTGTTGTTATAATATTATGTGTTTGTTGTTGAATTTGTCGGGGCCTTCATATCGGAAGGAGAAGCGACATTCAATACTGAATACTCAATACATGATAAAAAAAAAT